CACCTCTAAAATAACCGTTCGTCCTCGAACGGACAAAAGAAAGAAGTACCTGAGTCGGGAAATAGATGAGGATAACGGCTCCGCATATCAGACTCGGACTCCCAGGTCGATGCCTCAGGAGGCTGACCTCTCCACTGGACACGCACTGAAGGAAAACTCTTCGACCTCAACTGTCGAACCTGCCGGTCTAGAATAGCTACCGGCTCCTACTCGTAGGACAGATCCTTGTCCAACTGGACAGTGCTGAAATCTAACACATGGGCTGGATCGCCGTGATACCTCCGAAGCATGGACACATGAAACACTAGATGCACGGCTGACAAGCTGGGCGGCAAGGCAAGTCTGTAAGCCACCTCTCCCACACGATCGAGAATCTCAAATGGTCCAATGAACCTAGGGATAAGCTTGCCCTTCTTCCCAAATCTCACCACGCCCTTCATAGGCGACACTCGGAGCAAGACCCGCTCACCAACCATGAAAGCTACATCTCGAACCTTACGATCTGCATAACTCTTTTGCCGCGACTGAGCCGAACGAAGCCTGTCCTGAATGATCTTGACCTTATCCAAGGCCTCCTGAACTAAATCTGTACCCAATAACCGAGCCTCCCCCGGCTCAAACCATCTGACTGGAGATCGACATCGCTACCATACAACGCCTCATATGGAGCCATCTGAATGCTGGACTGATAGCTGTTGTTGTAGGCGAACTCTGCTAAAGGCAAAAACTGGTCCCACGAGCCTCCGAAATCAATGACACAGGCTCGGAGCATATCCTCCAATATCTGAATAGTCCTCTCGGACTGGCCGTCCGTCTGAGGATGGAACGCTGTGCTCAACTGAACCTGGGTGCCCAACTCCTGCTGAACTGCTCTCCAGAAGCGCGAGGTAAACTGCGTACCCCGATCCGAAATAATAGATACCGGCACCCCATGAAGGCGAACAATCTCTCGGATGTAGATCTCAGCTAACCTCTCCGATGAATAAGTGGCTGCAACAGGAATAAAATGCGCTGACTTGGTCAGCCTATCAACAATGACCCAAATAGCATCAAACTTCTTCCGAGTCATCGGAAGTCCAGTAACGAAATCCATGGTAATCCTCTCCCACTTCCACTTCGGGAGGCTCAATCCTCTGAAACAAACCACCAGGCCTCTGATGCTCATACTTATCCTGCTGACAGTTCAAACATCGAGCCACATATGCAACAATATCTTTCTTCATCCTACGCCACCAATAAAGCTGCCGCAAGTCCTGATACATCTTCGCGGCGCCCGGGTGAATAGAATACCGAGAACTATGGGCCTCCGCTAAGATCAACTCTCGAATCCCATCGACATTGGACACACAAACTCGCCCCTGCAACCTCAAAACACTATCATCATCTAAGGTCACCTTCGTGGCACCTCCACGCTGCACCGTGTCTCTCAGGACATACAAATGGGGATCATCAAACTGCCGATCACGGATACGCTCCAATAATGAAGAACGAGAGACCGTACAAGCTAACACTCTGCTAGGCTCAGAAATGTCTAACCTCACAAATCGATTGGCCAGGGCCTGAATATCCAAAGCAAGCGGTCTCTGGCTGATTGGAACATAAGC